TCATCCGTGTGCTCTGGTCTGTCACCTGGCGCTCCCCCTGGGTGCCCTGGTTCCCTGTGGAGGCCATACCAGAGTATCCCTCCGCCCCGCCGCCAGCCATACTGTAAGGAGGCGGTACCGGACCTTACAGCGGCGCCATCCTGCCAGCCGCATTTCCTGAGCCCAGCCATTTCCTGGGCCGCAACATTTCCTGATTTGACCGTAGGCACGGGGCATGCCCTGCACAGATGCCCCTGACCCACACACTTTCCTGCACTTCTGGCCTCTCCCTGCGCTCACCCGCCTCATTGTTTGGGGGTTGGCTGCAGCCGCTCACATCAAAGTTAATCCGCGGCCACCACTTTAGTTGCTGGCCCTGACCTATCCCGGTTACAAGACTGCCCTCCTTGACTCTCCATTTTGTATTGTGCATGTAAAGGTGCTAGATGCTGCGATTCGGCGGCGGAACAGCTGGGGAAGCAGGGAGCCCCGGTGCCAGGAGCGAGCTCAGGTGTCTCAACCAAACAGGATGGCGGGTGACCAGGGCATATCTCCCACCGGGCCCATGATGCCACCGCTGCCTCCGCCCTCGCCGCCGCCAGCCGCCCCACTGGCCACAAAGGCGGCGTTGAGGGCTAGCACCCATCGGGCATACTCTGCCGCGGTGCTGGGCTCCAGCCGCAGCATGCCGCGGGCTGCACCACAGGCATGGGCAGCAAGCGGGGCTGATTGACTGATAGGAAGCTGACGGCACACGCCTGGGGCGCTGTGTCAGGGCACAGGTATGCCAGGGCGGCGCAGAGCCATGCCAGACCAGCGGGCGCGACCACAGCGCACGCAGCATGCCCCAGCCAAACTTCACACACCTGTGTCCAGCACCAGGTATGCGCCTATGCGCCACGCGGGGCTGTTCACCACGCCACGCTTCACCGCGACGCGCAGCGGCTTGCGGAACATCCCGCTGGGGTACAGCAGCTCTGCATGTGGGGGAAGGGCGAGGCAGGGCGCAGGGCAGGGCTGAGGGGCCTTTGGAAGAAGCATTCGCGCATTGCAGGAAGGAGAAAGCATCCGCAGCCAAAGATTGATTGCCCCAGCAGCGGCCACACCCCCACCTGCTTTGCCGCCGCCACCTGGCGCCAGCTGGACGCAGCGCACCGAGCCGCCCTGCTTGAAGTTGGGTTTGACCCAGGCCTTGCGCACCACACAACCCTGCGCGCATGCAGCCACAGGCGGGGCTGAGTGGGTGGGTTAGCAAGCATCAGCCAGCAGAGGCAGCTGTGGTTCTGTTCTCCCTGCTTCAAGCATCGACTGCCCAGCCCAGGGTCCTGCCAGCCAGCGGCCTAATGGAAACGCACCTGCCGCATGACGTCCAGCAGCGCTACTCCCGTCATCCCTACCAGCTCAGGGGCGCACCCCAGCAGCTCTTTCCCTGCAACCGCAGGATAGCAGGGCAACACGGTTGATGAGGCAAACGGCGGGCTAGCCATCTTGCTCCCAGCTCCATGCCATGTGAGCTGGACGGTGCACCACCATTGCCACCCAGGCCAGCCAGCCAGGCAGCTCTTACCATGCACATCATCCCGCAGGCGCAGCCCCGACTCGGGTGGCTCCAGACTGGTCATCCGGCGCCGTGGCGTGATGGCGACCCGAGGCGTGGCAGCCGGCGTCGCTGCAGCTGCAGCTGCGGCGTTTGTGGGCGGGGGCGGTGACTGGGCTGTTGGCAACTGGGGTTCAGGCGCCAGCGCCGGCTGCAGCACGGCGGAGGCAGCAACCTGCGGCGCTGCCGGCTGCCTTGGCTGCTCGCTGCCGCTGCCTACCGCTGCGCCGCCAACCAGGACTGAGGTGCTGGTTGGATCAGGCTGCTGCGGGCTGGGCTGCGGCGCTTGCTGCTTCACGTGCTGCGCATGCTGCACCTGCTGCTGTTTTGCGTGCTGCGCCTGCTGTGCCTGCTGCGTCGTCTCTTTAGGTCTGGCCACCCAGAACGACTCTGAAGGCAGCTCCTTCTCCACCATCTGCACTCCACCATCTGCAGCCACCTCAGCCGCCGTCCGCACATCAGCCCCATGCTGCTGCTTTGCCTGCGGTAGCGGACCTGGCTGCTGATGCTGCCTGGCCTGCTCTGTTGGTTGCTGACGCTGCAGCTGCTGAGGCTGGGCGGTTGCTGGTTTGGCATCGGGGCGAGGCGGGCGCTGCCGCAGCGGCGGCGCCACTGCAGGCACATCAGCCTGCTGCATAGGCCTGTCGGGTGCAGGTTGAGCTGCTGCTGCTGGTTCAGGTGCAGGCGGCTCGCCTGCAGGCTGCTGCCTCCGCTGCTTCATTGGGCTGTGCTGCATCACAACAGGCATCACCAGCCTGCCGCTGCTGTACCCATTAGAGCTTGTGGCTTGGGCAGCGGAGCCCCGAGACCGCTGGCTGGCAGTGGATCTGCTGGGCTGTGCCGCTGCCGGCGCCGGCACCACTGCCGCTACAGGAAGCAGCACAGCGGGAAGCGCAGGGGGCTCTGCAACGGCCTGCGGCTGCTGCTGCAACTGCTGCTGCTCATCAGAAAACAGCTCAGCCACCGTGGCGCCCATGCCTGCCTGCTGGGCCCTGGCCAGGTCAGGTGCTACTGCCAAAGCCGGCTTGCCGGTGCACGGCAGCAGGCGGTGGCTGCTGCTGACGACCTCTGGGCTCCGTTTCTTGACGCTAGCCGGCTCCTCCTCGTGAGACAGCCCCACCTCGCTGCCCGAACGCTTGCGGCCGATGGATGGTGTGGATCCCGTCGCTGTGAGATGGCGCGAGCCGGCGCCGGCGCTGGGGCCCACAGACTGAGGCGCAGGCGCCTGCGGCCGGTGCTGATCCTGTCGCTGCTGCGGCGTCGCGGCTGTCGCTGCTACCCCATGGCTGCTGCTGTCGCCACGGGGAGTGTCCTGGCCACCAAGGCCGGGGAAGGCACGCACAGGGCTGCTGGCCTGCTGGGGTGGCTGCTGTGGCACAGGGCTGCTGCTGCTGGCGGTACTGGCCTGCATAGGCATGGTGGCAGCAGTGCACACCACATCATTCCTTTCAGGGCTCCCGGCATGCCGCAGATGGGTACCATGCAAAGCCAGGCATGCAGGCTGGGCACTGGTCACACCTGCCCGGATGAGGAAGACGCCACACTGGCGGCTGAGGCCGCCCGTACAGCAGGTGCCATGCCACTGCCGCGCCAACCATCATGTGCTGCTGCTGCAGCGGCATCCGCTGGCGTGGCAGGCGGCGACTGCAGCTTTTTGAAGGGTGATGCCAGCCTGCCAAAAATGCGACCCACCAGGCCGCCGCTGCCGCGCTGCTTGCCGGTGCTGGGAGGCGGAGCGGTGCCTGCTTCAGCCCGGGGTGTGCACTCCGTGAATGAGTGGCTGCGGGGCGTATCCTGGAGCGGTGGCGCCGCTGCCTCGCCAGGCACCACATGCGCTGCCGCCGCAGGCGCTGCTGCAAGCGGAGCCCGAGAAGGCGAGGTGCCGCCTGGTGCCCCGCTAGCCCGCCTGGGCGGCAAAGCAATGAACACGCCATGGGAGGGCAGCTCTAGCTCGGCCTCAGCACCACGTGCCTGGCGTTGCTGCTGCCCCTCCTTCCTCGACGATGCTGACGAGGCCGCAGCAGGCGCCTCGCTGGCGGCGCCACCCATAGAGAAGGCCGCCTGGGGCGGGCCCGGCAGGGAGTGGCTGGGGGCGGCAGCAGCTGACGAGCTGCCATTGGAGGCTGCTGCCGCTGCCCTGGTGCTGGCGGCGGGGGAGGCTGCCAGCAGCGCTGCCAGGCTGACTCGCGACTCCTTCTGGCCAGAACGGAGCGACGATGCCCCTGAAGCAGCCGACGCAGACTCTCCCCCAACAGCTGCCGCCAGCCTACTGCTGCCGTCGGTCGCGTTGCTGCGCAGCGGGCTGCGCTCATCTCTGGCCAGAGGCAGAAAGTTGAGGCCACAGGCCTCGTCTGCTGCTGGTCGTGCACTGCCACAAGCTGCACCGCTGCTGGAAGGCATGGCGCCACACTCTGTGCTGCGCTGCTGCTGCTGCTGAGCCCAGGCGGCAATAGCCTCGCCCTGGCCATGCACATTCTCCCTGCCACTCAGCCGCGCCGAGCCCTGCAGGCTGCTGGCCCCGCTGCCGGCCCGGCTGAGCAACGCCAGCGGCAGGCGCGGCACCGCACTGGACCGCGGCGCGGCTGCGGGGCCGCCACCTGCCCTCATGCGGGCTTCATTATACCGCTTGGCAGCATTCACCTGCAGAGCAGGCAGAGGAGCCATTCAGCTGAGCATGGATGGAATGAAGCCAAGAGATGAATGCTGCCTGCCACAGACACCGCGATGCGCTGCCATTCAGCGCTTCCCTCGCCCCATGCACCCCTTGCCTGTTCTAGCTTTGCCCTCAGCTGTCGCTCCACTTCTGAGGGGTCGAAAGTCGGCAGCGGCTGCTGATGCTGTTGCGACCTGGCCGCCGACCGCCGCTGCTGAGGCTGCTGGGTGCTGCGCCCAGCCCACTCCAGCCGCTGTCCCCGCCTGTCGCTGCTGCGCGTGGCTGCGGCAGAGCAGGCGTAGCTGAGGGCCGCTGAGTTGCTGCCATGCATTGCTGCACCTGCTAGCAGCAGCTCCTCTGCTGCGCCAGGCTGCGAGTCTGGCTGCATGGAGGCTTCAGCCCTGAGCGCCGCAATGATATCCTCAAACGAGCTGCGCCTTGCCGCATCTGGGTGCTGCACAGCTGCAGCACGGCTGCCGCCGTCGGCGCTCGGCGAGAGCAGAGCTGGCTGGTCGGGGTCGGCGGCGCTCGCGAGGCGCAGCGGCGGTGCTGCCTGCTGCTGGCCCTGAAGCCTGCCAGACCGTCCTGACGGGATGCTCCACGAAGATTGGCTCGCCAGCTGCTCCTCTTGGTGGGTTCCAGAGGACTTGGGTGCTGCCCGGCACTCGCCCGTAGGCAGCCCGGGTGAGTCGCCAGCAGCACCCAGCAGAGGGTGAAACCCACCGCTGCCGCTGCCTGAGTGCACCGGCGTGCCCAAAGCCACTGCTGGCATCACCTTGAACTGCGGCGCGCTGTGCTGCTGCATGAGCATTACTGGCAACATCATGGGAGCATGGTCGCCACCGCCGGCGGTTGGAGGCAGCGCCATCTGGAGGGAGTAAGGGTCGGTAGGAGGACCAGCGGCGGCGGCTGCAGCCGCGGGAGCGCAGCTGGCCGCCACAAACGCCTCCTCCTGCGGCATGCAAGATGCACACACTAGATAAATTAAGGGCGCATGGCCATTGGGAACACAGGCAAAGCACAGAGCGGAGGCGGCGGGGCCGAGGCCGCGGCGGCAACCCACCCTCAGCTGCGCCAGGTCGCCGCGGATGCGGCCCGCCCGTGCAACCGCCGCTCTCAGCAGCTCGCCCGTCTCCACGCTGCTGCGGGCACCCTCCATCGGAGTGAGTCAGAGCGCAACAGCCGGGGCCAGGTGCCCGCCTGAAGGAGCTCTGAGACCCGCCACGCCTTGCGATTTCAAAAGTGTTGAGCGCCCAATGGCTGTGTAGCTTATCCCTCAAAACCATTTCGGGTGCTCCGCCGTGCTGCGCGCAGCTGCGGCTGGTGAGCAACGCTTGCGGCTTGTATCGCGCACTGCGCTTATCTCAATCGCAAGTTCAGCCTCCACTGATCGCCCACAGGCACCCCCTGTGGGGGTGTGCGACATCTCTGCACGACATGTCTGCGGTGCATCTCCGTGCCCTGCTCACACAAGCCGGCGCATTCCAACCGGGTCAGTCCCGTGCTGGGCACGGGTCCCATGACCGGGGAGACAGCAGCACCCCACCAGCGGCAGCGGGCGCCGCCACTGCTCCCAACGTGCTGCGCCGCCTGCTGGCGCCGCAGTGGCCATGACGACCCTGTGCTCACTTCTGGTGGGCGAGCCGTTTGTTAATAACAGCATAGAATGAATTAATGAATGCATGAATGAATGAATCACCCACATTTGCAGCAGTACTGTGATTCTGATCAATGGAGGATGCAAGCACTGCAATGGTTCTGGCCAACCGCTGCTTGCATTATGCTTCAGCCGGCTTGGGCTTCAGGCTCAGCAGGGCAAGCAGGCCGTTCAGGTAGCCAGACCCTAGCTGGGGGCGCTTGCCGCCTGCCGTGGGTGGCTTGGTGTGGGCTGCACGGGTGGCTGCCGCGGCAGGCGGTGCGGGCTTGGGGGCACTGCTGCTGCTGGTGCCATAGACAGGCGCCGTCAGGCCGGCACAGTATGGCAGGGGAGGCAGCAGAGAATCAATGAATCCAGCCGGCAGCTGCGCCGCCGCGGCGGCCACAGCGGAGAGCTTGGGTGGAGCCATCGGAGCAGCTGGCGGCAGGCGGGCAGCGGGCACGGGTGCCTGTGCGATTGCCTGGGAGGCGACCTCTAGTGGGCTGGGGGTTGGCAGAGGCGCCGCGAACTCTTGGGGAGGGGGCAGCGAGTCCAGGCCGGTGCTGAATGGGAGCGGGGCCAGCAGGGAGTCTCGGAAGCCCAGCGGTGGCGCTGCAGCCGCCGTGCTGCTGCCGGCAGGGGCGGTCGGCGGGGCCGCTGCAGGGGCGACTGCTGCTTGCGCCGCGGCCCTCAGTCGCGCGGGACTCCTTTGGGTTTGCCTGCCCGGGAGGCTGGGCTGAGCCAGGCGCCTGCCCATTATCGAGGATGGCCTTGGGATCATCGGCTTTGAGGCCGGGGCCCTGCAGCAGGATGTTTCGAGGGAGGAGCGATAACAAAGCATCCCCGGTTTGGCCTGACCCAGACCGCAATGGCTTGGCACAGCAGCACAGTTACCTGCAGGGGCATGGAGTCATCATCTCGGCTGCGGCGAGCGAGAGGAGGCTAGGAAAGGCTGGGAGCTCCCAAGGAAGGCACCAGAGCAATTTCTAGGAGAGTTGGTAATCGGTGTGCGAGGGAAGACGTCTCCCTATCAAAGCGGGCACAGCGCTGAGCGCAGCGGCCGCGGCGTGCCATGGTGGGTGCCCAAGGGAGGCAGCGGCTACCTGCACGATCTGATAGCAAGTTCCGGCGACGCTGGTCAGGCAGGACGCCTCCTGGCAGAGCCGCTGTCCTTGATTTGCCAGGAGCAGGACAACACAGCGGCAGGAAGTCGCCCGTTACCATCAAATCCATCAGGACACCCTGGCTTCCTTCTCTTGCATGTATTCATACAGCAACCATCACAGTCACAAGAAGGCGCTAGGCATGCCCTTTTTTCACATCCAGGGCGCCCTGGGCCTGCTGCCGCGGCGCCGTGCTGTGCGCTGTGGCGGCAGCACTTTTGACGAGGAGGCGGCTGCGTATACAGACACACCCCCACTTGACCGCATCAATCAGCGGTCTCCGTTCACATCCGCTTAGACTTAACCAACACCTACAGGGGAGCAGCGAGCAGCCATGCCCAAGTCGAAGCGGAACAAGCTGGTGGCGCTCACAAAAGTGAAGAAGAAGGACAAGTCGTGGAAGGAGGGCCTAATCAACACCGTCAGAGCCTATGTGGACGAGTGAGCGCATGCATGGCGCAGCCGCGCAGAAAGGCTGCAGCGCTGGGGTGGCGGCATGGTGGCCGCAGCTGACCCGTCCACCACGCATCGCGGCCCATGCATGCTGCTGCCGGCCGCCGCCAGCGCCGCCGCCGCCTGCCTGCACCACTCTCTGCCGACTCTCCGTGTCGCTGCCTCCCAATCACCCCACCTGTCACGCACTCTACAGGTACCCCTCCATCTACCTGTTCAAATTCGAGAACTTTAGGAACGAGCAGTTCAAGGAGCTGCGGGAGCAGCACCGCAACACGAGCAGGTGCGTGCCGGTCCGCTGGGTAGGCTGCGCTGCTCGACAAATGCATCGCCGCGCTGGCTGCGAAGCTGTCTGCATCAGCAGGGCAGCTGGCTGCTGGCTGCAGCGCGCGCTGCCCAAGCCAAGCACGGTTGCCGGCTAGCTCGAGCGCGCGGCTGTGCCACCCTTCGCCACAGCACGCCGGCCTCCTGCGCCGCGGCCCCGCCGACCTCCTTTCCCTGCCTGACTTCCCCACCCACCCTCCCTCCGCGCCAGGTTCTGCATGGGCTCCAACAAGGTGCTGCGCGTGGCGCTGGGCCACGACGCCGCTGACGAGTACCGCACCAACCTGTGCCAGCTGGCCGGCCGCATCCGCGGCTCTGCGGGCCTCTTCTTCACCAAGCTGCCGCGCGGCGAAGTGGAGGCCATCTTCGAGGGCTTCGAGGTGGTGGACTATGCGCGGGCGGGGGCACGCGCCACAGAAGACTTCAGGTGGGCTGCTGCAGGGGCACGCGGGCAAGGCAGGCAGCTGCTGCCGGCAGGGCAGACGCCTCGGCTGCAGCCGCGCGGACGCAGTGCCTGGGCAGAAGGGCAGCTGAGTGGTGGCGCGCAGGGCAGAAGGGCTGCTAGTTGGCAGGCCACCCAAGTTGGGCCTCTGGCGCTGGGGCGGCATGACATGCCGCCGCCGGTGCCGCCCTCCCCGCCACGCCCATCACGCACCCGCCCGCGCCCTGCCCCCGCCCGCAGCCTGGAGGCGGGGCCGCTGACGCTGTACGGCGAGCCGCTGGCGCACACGTTGGAGCCCACGCTGCGGCAGCACGGCCTGCCCACCAAGCTGAACAAGGGGGTGGTGGAGCTGGTGGCGGACTTTGCTGTGTGCAAGGAGGGGCAGAAGCTCAAATCCAACCAGGTGAGGGTTGTGCTGGGCTGGGGCTGTCCCTGGGCGGCCACCAGCAGCAGCAGCAGGTTCTGCGTTCGGGAAGCGGAGGCAGGCAGGAGAGGGACCCTGCAGCAGCACGCGCGGCATGGGCGCAGCAGCAGCAGGCTGTGTGCCCAACGCTCGCACCGATCTCGCGATCTCGCCTCCCTCGCCGCTCCCCTCGTGCAGGCCGCGCTGCTGCGCATGTTTGACATCAAGCAGGCCTCGTTCAAGATGCAGCTGCTGGCGGTGTGGGAGGCGGATGAGGTGGAGACGCTGGCGGAGGATGAGGAGGGCAGCGAGGGCGGCGGCAGCGAGCTTGACGACGCGGGTGGGCGGGTGCTGCTGCTGCTGCTGCTGCTGCTGCTGCTGCTGGCATGGCAGTGGCCGGCATGCTGGAGTCGTGCCCGCTGCAGGCTTTGCAGGGAGATGGATCGGGGCTGGCGCCTGCCTGCCGCTTGTCCTGCTGACCTGGGCCCGCTGCCGCGCCTCTGCCTGCAGACTTGGAAGGCATCGAGCTGCGGGAGGTGGATGTGTGAGGTGGTATGTCTGTCACGGTCCTGCGCGCCAGCTATCAACATCCCTCCAGCCCGTTTACAACTTCAGAGTGAATCCTTTACAAGTTTGTAGATTGAATCCTTAGGCCAACAGCTTTTTGCCCCACCACTACACCTAGCCAGTTAGCCTGTTGCTGTGTTATTGTGCTCGTCTGCGATCCCGCTCAACCGTTTGCTGCTCCCTCTGCCGCTGTCACCTCCCTCCTATGCCGCCGGCATTGCTTCCTTCTGACGCATGCTTTACACATGATATGTTGACGCCAGCCAAAGCTGCTGGATTGCCTGCCTGATATTGCAACCACACAGCCCAAAACGGGCGTCAATGCCACTGCACAGATGCAACTGGCATCATGTGCAAAGGCGCAGCAAGCAAGCAGGCACACACAGCCACAGGCATACGGTGGGGGTCCACTGCTGTGTGCTTCTGTGCATCGGGCAAATTGGGGAGCAACATCCACGCGGCAGGGCGCCAGCGCACAGCTCAGACTTTCATCTTGCCCTTGCCGCTCCCGCCCCAGCCGCCGCCGCCGCCGCCAGCCTTGCCGCCGCCGCCAGCCTTGCCGCCGCCGCCGCCGCCGCCTTGCCAGCCGCCCTGCACTCTGCCGCCGCCGCCGCGGCCGCGCCCGCCGCCGTGGTGCCTGCCGCCGCCCCTCCCTCCTCCTCTGCCGCCGCCTTCTGTGACCTACACACACCAGCAGGCCACGCCTCCCCAGGATCATCTCATCAGTCCCACCCTCCAGCCCCCAGCCCCAACCCTCCAGCCCTCAACAAACACCGCTCTGCCCAGCTCCCAGCGCCGTCCGCAGCGGGCCCAGCAGCGGGAGGACAGCAGGCCGGGCAGGCGCAGCAGCAGCCGCGGCGCTGCGGCGCCCTCGCCTTGCGTGCCGCCCAGGTGGGCATGTCGGCCTCGCGCTTGCGGCCCTCGGTGCGCCCGCCGCGGTCGGGCACCTTCCCGATGAGCACCGCCTTGACTGTAGGTACGGGGCAGTACATTGCACACAGCGCCAGCTCCATCAGGCAGCTCCACCAGCTCCAACCGTGTACCTGTCCGACCCTACACCACTTGCGCACGCCACCGCCGCCGCCATTCCTGCACACACACACACACACACACACACACACACACACACACCGCATGCGACGCGGCACCCTCCCGCGGCGCCCTCCCTGGGCCCGATACGCGCAGCGGCCACACCCACAGCAACAGGGTTCGCCACACAGCAGCGCACGGCGACAGCCACACCCAGACGCTCGCCCCAGCAGCAACAGAAAGACGCCCCAGCAGCAACAGAGACGCGCCACAGCAGCAACGGAGGCACGCCGCAGCGGCAGGGCTGCCACCCACCCGAGGCGTGTATGCCCGCCTCCCCGCTGGTCGCCTTCTCCAGGATTGCCAGCAGGTCTGCCAGCGTGGCGCCAAACACGCCCTGCAGCGCCACCGCCGGCTCGGGCACCATGGCACGCACCGCGCCGTCCACCACCACCTGCGCCTCGCCCTTGGTGCCCTGCAGCAGCGGGACAGGCCGGGGAGGGCAAAAGGCCAGGGGCAGGTGGGCGGTGCTGCAGGGCTGGTGAGAAGGGACAGAGGGCTGCGGGGCGCGGGTGGGGAGTGCTGCAGGGTCGGCGAGCGGGGACAGCAAAGTGCGGTGTGGGCTCCAGACAGGAGCCGCCAATGCGTACACAGGCAGGGTGACGCCTGTAGCGGGCGTGGCCAGGGTCGCGGCCCGCACAGGCTGCGCCGGTCTGCCACACAGGCGCACGCCCCCGGGGGCCCGCCCCCCACCTTCTGCTCCAGGCGGGGGCTCCACAGGAACGACTGCAGCGTGACCTTGGCCCGCTCCGCCAGCATGCGCCGCCGCAGGCCGTACTCCGCCCGCAGCGCGGCATCCACCTCTGCTAGGGTGGCCAGCTGCAGGGGGGAGAGGCGCGGAGGGCAGGGGCAGGGGCCAGTGGGTGTGGGTAGCGGGCACGCGGGGCCTTGGCAAGAGGCAGGGCAGGGGAGGCTTAGGGAAGGGGTGCTGCACGCATGCAGCCGCCGACGCAGGCTCCGCAGCCGCGCTGCAGCCCACCTGCGCCTCGCCCAGCGACCCCGGCGGCAGCAGCGGCTCGAAGAAGCCGGCGGGCAGCTGCGCCAGCAGCTGCTGCACGCGGGCCTGCACCGCCGCCACCAGCTCTGCCGCGGTGGCGGGCGAGGAGGCCACCTCCTCAAGGTGAAGCAGGCTGGCAATCGCCCGCAACACAGCCGATAGATCATAAGCCAGCGGGTCAGAGGTGTCCATGTCGGCAGCCCCGCCCTGGCCGCCAGCCTCCGCTTCCGCCATCTCCACCCCCGCCGCCGCCTGCTCCTGCTCCGCCGCGGCTGCCGCCATGGCGCCGGCCTGCGCCGGGGACGGGTAGGGAGGGCAAAGGGCGCCAGCACCAGTCAGCACCAATCAGCAGCAGCGGCGCTGGGGCTCGGAGGGCCTCGACGCTTGCTGCCTGCGCTGCGGTGGCTTCCTGTTGGCATCAGCATGGCAAGCCACGCCTACCACACCTGCAGGACGGCGACGAGCAGCTCCAGGGCTTCTAGGCGGCTGGCAGGGGCGCAGCCAGGATCCAGCACCTTGGCTAGCTGCTTCAGGCCCGCATCCAGGCGGCCCTCCCCGGCCGCCGCCTCGGTGTTGGCGGCGCGCCGCACTGCCACGGCCGCCGCCTGCAGGGAGGCCGGCCCAGGCAGCAGGCCAGGTGCGTCGGGAGCAGCAGCGGAACCACCAAGGCTGGAGGCGGTTGTGAGCGGTATTGGCGTGCTGTGCCGCTCAGTGCAGTGTGGCGCAGGACGAATGGCGGTAGGGCGGTGCTGCCTGCTCGGTGCAGCGTGGTGCGACGCTTCTCTATTGCTCGCATCCAGCCAGCCATTTCCCTGCTGCGCAGGCCCCACCTGCAAGGCCTTGGTGTCTCCCAGCTCGGCGTGCTGGCACAGCGCCCACAGCCGCGCCGCGAGCTTGACGCAGCAGGAGCGGAGCGGCTCGCGGGCCCCGCCTCCCAACAAATCATCCTCGCTCATACCATCCCCCAGCCTGCACCGTGGGTAATACACATTGTTGGAGAGGGTCATGGGAGGACGTGCGGAGCAGCTCCAGAGCAGGGCAGGGCGGCAGGCGGCGGGCCAGCATCACCAGCGCCGCACCAGGCACCCTTGCTCTCACCCGCAGTCTGTCAGGCGATCTAGCAGGTCGCCCGCCCGCGTCTCGTAATATGCCATAGCTAGACGGCCAGGCGAGGAGGCAGGGGGCCAGTCTCGGTGGCGACCGAGGGAAGTGGACGCCAAAGGCCCTCGGCCTGCTTTAAGTGAGCATAGATTGGCCCGTGTGATTTTAAGACTGCGCAAGCACCGTTTACAGGCGCCTGCGAGGAAAGCCGCCTGGGACAGGGCCCTGGTTTCGCCCTCTTGCCCGCTGTTGGCGCCGCCCCGAGCACTTGTGCACGTCCCTGACCGCCGGTTCAACACTTCTTGGCGCAGCCAGCGCTTCAGCGACCGCCTGCGCCCAGCCCCAACCCAGATGCCGCCTCTGCCGCACACAGGGCCCGAGTTTCCCTACAAGCGGCCGTGGTACAACCTGACACTGACAGCGCAGGAAATCGAGGTGCGCAGACCCGCCAATCTCGCCGCCGTGGGCATTGCATGTGGTGCAGACCGGCTGCCGGTCTCCCCAGCCCCCTGCGGCCCTCAGCAGCCTGGGGAATGGTGCACAGGCGGGTTGCGCGGCCTGCAATGCCGCCGGTGGGCGCGGGAAGCTCCCACCCCGACTGCGGTTCTGCCTGCGGCGTGCTTAGCGCGGTGGTTGCCGCATCTGTCGCTCCGCCAGACCGCCCGCTGACTCGCCCCTGCCGCATTCCTCCCTCCCATCGGCTGCCTCCGCCTGCTTGCAGGAGGACATGGCCCTGATTATCAGCAACACCAAGAGGCGGCCGCGGGTCGTCAAGGAGAAGAGCCCCTCTGGCGGCTACGGCTCCGGCTGATAGAGCAAGCCAGGGCAGGAGAGCAGGTCAAGCGATCCACCCGCCTGCCCTCTGACGCCCGGCGACGAATAATAACCACCTGCCAGGCACGCCCGCCCGCCTTCTGTACTGTCCCCAACCCAACCCAGCACTCCAGCCAGCCAGAGAATACGGCCCGTCCCCGTGTACAGCCGCGGCCGCCAACTGTGTCCCTGTCTCGCTTCCGTCCCTGTACTCTACGCGGCGCATACAACCATGAAACACAAGACGAGAGGCGCCGCTCACCATGTTCTGTGTCCCTTCCGCGCCTCGGGCCCTGTGTTTTTGGGCCCGGGGGCCCCTGTGACTTGCAGGGGCCCGGGGGCCCCTCACCACCCTGCCTCTGTGACTTGCACCCCCACGCTTTGCCCAAACCCCGTCTGCCGCACACCCGGCTTACCCCTTTTTTGCTTTGCTGTTTTTTTTGCGCTGGTCACTTTTGCGCTGAACTCTACTTTTGTGCTTAGCTGCGCCACTGGTTTTGTGCGCTGTCCCACGCATTCACTGTCCTCCTATTCTCCCCTGTTCAACAGGGTCCTCCGCCCTGCCTGCGCCGCCCCTATTTGCCCCTATCCGTCATTCCTGTGTTCACCGCCAATACACTCCGAATTTGCCAGTGTTGTTACAACAGACGCACAACCACCGGGCAACAAAGTGCCGTCGCTCAGGCGCGTCAGGCGCACAGTGCGGGGCACAGAGCGGTGTGGGGAGCAAGGGAGCAGAGTGGGACGGGAGATGCAGGGACGTGACAAAGGGCTGCAGGGCACTTGTCGGGGCCACCTCACACATTGTAGCCGGTGAGAGAGCCGCCGCGGCCGATGATCTCGCCGATGCACATCCAGGCGTACAGCTCCGCAGCAAATCCAACGTACACGGCCACCTGCGGAAAGCAGGGCGGTGGGGTGGCATGCGTGGGCGGCAGTCTTGTGTGCAGCGGCATCGGGGATGCTGGCGCCAGCAGCAGCACGCTGATCCTCCTGCCACACCGTGCTGCATCCAACAGCAGCAGCAGCATCCGCCGCGACCAGCCGCCCCCGCCAGCAGCCGGCCGCCCCAATGCAGGTGCATGCCTCCGCGGCCAGCCAACCAGCACCTCAGAAGTGTTCAGCTCCCGCAGCTGCCCCCACTTGCTCTTCAGCACGTTTGCCTCCTCCTTGCACGCCGTGACGCCGGTGGGGATCCTGCGGCGGTGGGCACCGATGCAGGCGTTGGTGCGCGAGAGGTGAGGCTCGATGCCGGCTGCTGAGGGGAGGCTCCCATGCGCCAGCGGCCTCGCACATGTGCCGCCAGTACGCAGCATGCATGCAGGCCGTAATCACCGCGCTTCTGGCAAGGAAGGAGCATCCAAGAGCTTGCCGGATGCGGCACGGCAGGCGGACGGCGAGGGCGGGGGCGGTGGCGCCCACTCACTTGGCTAGCTGCGTGAAGACGTACTGCTTGAGCAGCTTGTCCGCTGCTTCCTTGTCCTTGACCACGTACTGCGCGTTCTTGGCCATCAGGGCGTCATACTGCTTGAGGGTCTCCGTGCGAGCAACCTTCCAGGCCGGCTCAGCCGCAGCCCGGGCCTTGCTGACGATCGCTGCCAGACGCTGCGCCATCCCGCCTCGTTCCCCGGGCACCAAGGGTTCGGCACCCGCCGCTGCGGACAGGGGCTAGTGTGGGTGGAGCCGCGGGCGGCGAGTCAGAGGCAGGGATGGACGGCAGGTGCGTGTGATCGCCCTCGATTGTCCATCGGCCTGCGATCAAGGCCTGCCCTTCTCCCGGCACCACGGCCCCTTCCACCCTGGCCTCAGTAAGGCCCAGGTGGCCAGATGCATGCATGCCCGCTTGCGGCTCTCATACCCCACCCCCCAGCACTCACAATGGGTTCATTCGACGCTCTGTGGGGCGCCCAAGGGGCTCACACAAGCAATTGGCAATTGCGGAGCCCTGTGCTCGCCTCTTCCACATCCCTCCCGCCCTCTCCCGTGGCCTACATACATTTCCTCGTGCCTTTATGGTGCCACCAGCGCCAATGGCGCGCACCTGAGCGTCCCAGCAAGGGGTGATGGTTGGCCCAGCCTCTTTCACCCTCTCTCCTTGCGTGCACGCTTCCCAAAATGTTACCAGGTGCGTACTGGGTGATGTGAAGTGAGCAGGCGCCCTGACAACGCCACATACTTGAAGCCTGGAATGCTTGCTGAGCCGCCAGCTCTGCAGGAGCCTCCCTAGCAGGTGTCTGCGCTTCAGCGAACGCTGAATTGTTGCCTCCGATGCGCAGGAGTGGCCGCCGCTACACCGCCGCCCCCACTGCCGCCTCTGTGCGGCGCTTCTTCTGCACCCGATGATG